ACTCCTATAATGGAACCACCACACAACACGGTTCTGAAGCAAGTTCATACGCAGCCGTCAGTTAAGGCCAAACGAACGATGGGAAAACACCATGTCAACATACGATACTTCGGCCATTAGAATGTCAATGGTAAAATTATATATATATATATATAGTCTGCAAGAATATGAAATAACAGAGAGGTGGATATAATGAACGATACTTGACTTGTGAAACAATATGGGAAGTAAAACAAAGTGACGCAGTACCGACTATATGTGCAAATTGTGAATTCAATATATGGTAGACGTAATTTGCCTACATCTGTGTATCCAGTAACTCATAAACAGTTCCGTTACAAAATTCCCTAGTCTTCTGCAGTTTTATACTACTGATATGAAAACTTAAAGTTCATACATTCTTCTGCAAATTCGGAGAAATTCATTATCAACGGGTGTTTTTTCATAACACAATCTTCAGGCCCACTAACCCAGTTGGAAGGTTTATCAACGGCAACTATTTGGGCACGTACAAAATATTTGACTGACAAAAGCTGTAGGAAATTTGATTGATAAACATTTGTTAGATAGCTGAAGGCAATCGGTAGGAAACCCTGGAGCTGGGTTTCATGCTTCTCGTCACACGTCAGCAATGTGTATCTGCGACTGTAAAAGGTGCTCATATCCTTTCTGATATTCAAACCAGGGTCAGACACCACATAACTAAGCCTGAGTAGCGGCAATGGTGACGTCTGTGACTGCGGCATTGAGTGTTCTGAGTTTTGATCCCAGAAAAGACACGAGATCCTTCAAGACTGCAGATCCCCCTTGCTGAGTGACGAGAAGCACGAAACCTATGTCCTAGGTTTCCGACGGATTGCCTCTAACCATCTTACACCAATTCAGAGTGCACCGTACATTTGGGTTATGTAACATGAAGGTCACATTGCCAACTTGACTGACAATCCAAACTGAATCAGTCGAAGGATTAAACACAAGACATTACCTTCTTACCTGGGGTCCAGTTAAAGGGATGCAAACACACATTGAGGGAACGCACAAACTTTGCACCGCAATTGAGGTTCTCCAAGAGTGCCGTTTCATGCCTATCACTTGTCACAAATAGCTTGTGTCAGGGTTACTTAAATTCTCTTGTTGGCCTTCTCGTAATATACACAATTAGATGCCGAGCGAAGGGCGGCGTTGTGGAGAAGTGAATGGCAGTAATATATACGGATGGGTTTCCATGAAGGCCTTAAAACACAATGTTGCCCCTTCTCTGTACAACTGGAATTTCGTTGGACCTTTAGTCATGAGTTCAAGTACGTTTTATCGACAAGGTGAACTATCACTTGTTTCCCATTTACACTTAAATGCGAGTTAAAATTCTCACACTAGTAAGAAGTAGGGAGTTACCGAATCAAAAACCGTGAGTCGGAATTCACTTTCTTTATGAGGTTTAGGCAACGAAGAAACGTAACGTACCAATTTTCTAGTCAAACAATTACTTGAAAACACTTAGTTATCAGTGTTTCGATATAGTTAAAAACAAATCAATACATTCGATAAACTAACGCAAAAGTCAGTCCTCTACCTTCAGTACATTCTGCAAATATCCAAGTGGAATCAACTAGAAATTAAATGACTATACGCTTGAGACAACAGCTAAACACATGACATTCAATCAGAAGTCTACAATTCGACCGAAAAATACAGCGAACTAATTTCCGGAGCCTCACAACTGCGATCAGTCAATTCTCATACGTATCAAGCCGACATACTTGCTACATTCTAAAACTTGTTAAACTCGCATATTGATAATTACGTAGCGAATTTCCGTCCCATAAGTAATTTATAAACACGACACGAATCACAGCTTTCTAAAATCCTCTAGGCAGACAATACATATCCAGTAAAACAAGCTAAACTGGTCTTATGACTTCTGCTTACTTTACTAGGTAACGTGGCATTTACAGTTAGTTACTTAGTTCTGTAGACCAGTATCCTGGAAACTTCAACTACTGTACACTTGAACCAATCGACAAGAATCACTCTTGCATTCGATGAACAACCTAAAAAATAAATCTATTTAAAACTTAACTGTGAGCAGAAACTTATATTTTGTTTGACAATGCTTTCCATTGAGGTCATTCTAGTTGTCTCAACCAGATTGCTGCTCGATAACTAAATATCATGTGGAAGACAATCACTTTCCTTCCTATGGTCGCAAATTTTAAAAAACGTTCTATATGTGTGTGTAAACAATCTCGCAAACACCAACTGTATTTGCCAAGTCAGTTACTGCAGAACTGATTGCAGAATACCACGTTCATGGTTAAAAAGTGGTTTACTAGCCTTCTAGAAACCTGAATCCTAGTTCTCGTCATTTTTCAACATTTATGCGATTCAACAGATCACATACTGCCGTAGGCTACAGTAAGGCGTTATGCGTATAAAGTCCTCATGTTTTGACCTAATGGTGCTTGTTTAGGTAAACAGTGTGCGTTTACACCTACACCACACTACTCAACCGTTGGACACTTTTTTGTACAAGCAAACAGCTATTGTTCATTGACTATTTAGGCATTATTTAAAAAGACAGTCAAGTTGTTTTTAGCGTTGACACGATTTTTACACGTTCATTTGAAACACTAACGTAGTACAATATGTGCATTCAGAGAAACACCACACAATAGAAAAGAGAAATAAAATGTAAATCTGAGTGACAGGAACGTGGTAGAATATTGAATGAAGTCACTTCGCGAAGTTCTCACTAGTTAGTCATGTCTTTTAGCAAAATCCCAACACGTTTGCCAATCACTTTAATCCTAAGCCATATTTAATAACCCTTGGGACTGGTGAGTCGAATTCTCGATGCCCACCGTGAGTAATGAAGTACCAACAGATAATAACCTGAAACACTTCCCCATACCTCATAACACTTTTACCATGCAGTATTAAGGCTAACAAACTTTGAACGGCACAGCATCTACTGGGATGAAGTCCGCTGGACGCGTTCAATTCACCAAAATAAGATTACTTTATAAACAACCCTCACCATGTCTAAATAGGTTGCTGACCTTAGACAATCATGTTACAGGGTGAAAACATCTCTATGGGGACAACGATGATCGAACATCGATGTGCCTTTTTAGGTAGGAGGTACCATTTCAAAGATGTGAAACGAGCGGGTGTGCCCCCATGAGATGTGAAGCCCGACTCTTGACAGCCAGAAAATTAACGCTGCGGGATCATACACGTCCCCAGTTAGGGTATACCAACCCGGTGTTTACCATGAGATCCGAAATCTCACCATAAATCCACTGCAATAACAACCAACTAGGTACATCGACTCGCCCTTTACCGATTGTTCAAGGGCGAGTAATAGGATCTGCTCATTCCAATGCTGCAACAGCACTTCGTACTTGAACGGAGTAAGCAGCATACCACACCCAGAGACGCCAAGTAGCTAAGTTAGATGGGATCATTAGGAAGTATTTCTCCACGAAGCTGATCCTTACCACCACCACTTACATTCAATTAGAATGTCATGAATGGCTAGGATTTAGAGGAACCATCACACGGTGGCACCTTGTCAATAGCCACTGATAGTTGTGGAGACATATAGTCGTATGCTTTGAAGTATTACTGTATAGGCTGGACAAGTTGTCGATGTAATCACGACTCTAACGTGACTCCGTCTGCTTTGTGACAAGCAAATTTGCACGTGTACAACAAGGCTTGGGGGTCACGCCATCATCCCCAAAGTTGTGCACACAAGTAGCTCATATCAAAATTCTTCCTTTTAAACGATGCAGATGTCCCTTAGGCTAAGGAGCACTGGACTTCTACTAAAAACAGGACAGTAAACTGTCCAGGTCTGGGTGTTTGATGGTGTTCGAATACAAGGAGTTTGTTTCGGACCTTCACATTTTTCGTGGCCGGTGTTACTTGAACATGGAGCATCGTATTCTAAAGCATTAGGTAGTGTCGCTGCATGTAAACATACCTGTTTTTTGAGCGTACTGTCTAGTACTGATTAACAACATTCACCCGGTTCACGAACCAACTCACTGATACCATGATCTTAGATGCCAGTAGCTCTGATGCGTCTGAATAGTTCCGGACTGTTGCCATGTGTGGGTGACGGTCCCATCATACTGTGACCATCGACCTTAGCTCTCTTTATTTTACACTTGTGTCATTTCACACGTGAGTAACGCAGACTATGATAAACATTGGATTGGATAGTTGTCTAATTGAATTATTTTGTCATAAAGAATCACATCAGTCATTCATTTTTGTAAAATAATATTTAGGGTAATTTTCCAAAAACGGATGATCTGCCTCATTAACAAATCACTATTCCGAGTAACGAGAATATATATATTCTGTATAAGAAAAAATGAATTACACATAGAGCCATTCGTTGGTACTTCAAATCAACCAAGCTGTTGGAACCCACTCGGATAAATGGACATAGAAACCTACGTAGATGAAAATCTTCGTCGATGACTGAAAAAAACAACCCACTCCTGTCAGGCTATGGGGAAGCTTGTTGTCAATGTGCGCGAATGACCAGTGACATTTCGGCAGTCCCAGTGGGTACACAAATTATTTTTGTCGACGTATAGTCACATGATTTCCACGCCCTATTCACTCTAATAACACGTTTCCACTTATCAGTAATATTTCAGTCTTTTCTTGAAATCCACACTGATGCGCTGTGGTTGGTGGTAACTCCAAATGTCGCTAAACGTTTGGAAAATACCTTGGTAGTAGGATAAATCTTTGCATAATCCCCCATATATGCTAGATTACTACGACTCAGTGAGTAACGTAGAAAATCCGTTGCAGTTAGTTAGAACACCCAACAATTTGATCATAGCCGACCATGGAACAGTCCGTGATGCCTCCGGGCTAGTGGGGAGTCATATATGAGCCTTATAGTGGTTAGCAGAGTTCCTTTAGACTTCGATCGACATCAATTACAAAAAAGTAGAAAAACAAAACCCAGTTTACAGATAACGCTTTCTTGGTTTTAATGGAAATTATGCATGGAACTACAATTTTGGGTTCGTACCAGCATGGTACGAATGCAGAAGAAAGAAACAATATTGCAGGAGGCTGTACAGGAACAAAGCTGACAGCCCCTTGGTAAAAAGTCGATAAAATAAATCGAAAACAACACAAGGTCTCAAATGTTGCTTGTTATCATTTAATAATTTCCGTGGAAACTTGGGGCCCATCCACTACCCCAATTGGATGTAGATGTGTCTGTACCCGGAGCAGACGGTGTAGAATATGAATATGGATTTGCAGCAAAACCCGGCCACTGCTGTACGTACTGTGGGGCATTTGTCGGGGGGCAGCTTTGTTTGGGGTTCCCCATGGAACCTCGAGATCTAACACCCGATGTGGGCATGTCACTGCTGGGATTCATAAGACTGATATGAGATGAAGATGGATCCATAAGAGTTGGTCGCTTAAGACTGTGACCAACAGGGCGCTGAAATGAACCTCCAGTGGCTACGTCGCTGGCTGATGGATTCCAGTGCTGTTGGACCTGACTGGTGCCGTTGCCCCAATGATTAGTGGGCCACTGATCAACAGTTTCACTAACTGTACTTGAATTCTGGACTAGGGATACGGGCGCAGCCATTACAGAACCAACTTTATCTGTACTAGCTGTGCGCCTATCCCACTTTCCTGTCTCTGTTACGTTTGTTACACTAGGTTTCAGATAGTTAGTCTCACTGAGACGATTATCATTCACAGGAATAGACTGTGATAATCCTCCATACGCAGGTACCTGACTAGTTGGGACACTACCCAACACAGTTTTGCGACCACTACTAGGCTGGTCGCTAGAGACGGATTTGAACGACCCAGGGAACGAGTTCTCAGCAGCTGAATTTCCTTTATTCATTAAAGACGAGCCATGCGGATATGCAATTCCGGAGTTGACAGCTCTTATATCTTGTGTTGGATAGCTTGATATATTTCCAAAGCCAGTTACACGACCAGGTGGCTTTTGTTGAAAGGCTGAGGGATCTGTAGAACATAAGGTTTTTGCGAATTTACTTTTCATTAGAAAATAATCCATAGATTAAATCTGCATCGGCTCTCCGTGCCGACCAGTGAAAAACTACAAATAACACAATTTGAATTGATTTCATGAAAAACTGATTTACTATTTTCCGTCTTCCTAAGCATCACTTAAGTGCTCAACAACTCTTCACAAGTTTAAGCAAACTTGTGCACTTTCAGAATTGCAGTTTCTCGTTGCATTTAATGAAAAACGAAATAGAAGCCAAAGAAGTAAGTCTGCAAACCTGATGAGAGCGGTTCGGAACTTTTGCACACTCACAAGATTGTCGTATGAAAGTCATTTTGTCAGCCGCATACACATCAAGTCTGTTCTAGGATACATCGAGAACAACTTCAGATGTTGCTTTTTCACAGCTAACTACGAAAAGCGTACAGATACATTAAGCGCTAAAATACGGCTGTTCTGTCAAATAAATGCTCACCATACTCTGTATAGTCTGCTTCTAACCGTTGAATTCACACGACAAATAAAGTACTCACGCAATAAATACTGTAGGTAGTCCACGGACACCACAGAAAAGCGTGACCGCTGATGTGAATGCTGACGAGAATAGCCTAGATAATTCAAAGCATGATACTAGAATACATTCACAAATCTTGAGTGTAGTCAGCACTTAATTTGGCTATGACTGTACCAACAACTGATCGAATGAAAAACCCACCTGATAAGGCTGTGGGTAATCTGAAGTCCTCAGACTTCACAAAGTGAAACCCGAAATACAATACTTTGTTTTGGTTGAAGTTACAACCAAAGATATCATCGTGTTATGAATGGTGTATGCTGAACTTGTCAGCACACACGCTTACGCAGCTATGTAATAGGTTTCAGGGACGATGAAGCTTACTAAGAGCAACTTACGAAGCTTCATCTTTCGTGTCTGTTTTGGGGATATTTCAAGTGCACTTAACCCAGATATGAGTTATCGCAGTTTTAATAATAGACAGTGCAATCAAATGTTATGTCACAAAGTACTCACGTTTTTTGATCGCCCCAGACTTTCGCAAATAGCTGGACATTCCCGCCAGCTGAATGAGCTCCTGGCTGATTTCTTGGTTGGCCTCGTCTAATATTTCGATAAGTTCGCGAGCTTGTCTTGAGTTCTTGTGAGTAAAAAAAGTAAATGCAGTCCCCGTTTTATCACTTCGTGCAGTGCGGCCAATCCGATGAATATAATCTTCAGTTTGATTGGGGAAATCAAAGTTCACCACGTACTCTATATTGTCAATATCTGAAAAAGAGAACATTCTTGTGAGTTGGGAAGGCAAAGAGAGAACCAGAAATTTCAGTAAGAGAATTCTAACCTACCAAGTCCTCGAGAAGCTACGTCAGTAGCTACCAGTATATTGATCCTACCGCTTTTAAAACCTAAAGACATGACTTTATGTGTAAAGAGTACTTACCAGCCAGTGTTAATTCGCGGTCTCTTTGCTGCTTACCACCATGCATTGATTCAACATAGAACCCGCGACGCCGAAGGGAATTTGCCAGTTGATCAGTTCGGCGTTTGGTTTCAACAAATACGAGAGTTCTAGCTCTGCCAAAGCCGGCTAGGAGTGTGATCAGTCGCTGCTCCTTGCTCCAATCATCCATTATCTCGACTATTTGAGTAATATTCGGGTTGGCGTGCAATGACGCTGAACCGATGTTCACCTGGATGTAGTCGGTAAGGAACTCCCTCGCTAGAGTTTGCACTTCTCTTGGCCAAGTAGCAGACCACATAAGTGTTTGACGATCCGGTCGTATATGACTTATTATTTTTCTGATTTGAGGTTCGAATCCCATATCTAGCATTCGATCGGCTTCATCCAGAACTAGATAAGTAACACGTGAGAGCAAATTTCTGGAGGCGTTAGTGTTATAAAGAGAAATGAAATTACCTTTGCGCCCTAATGAAGTCAATGAGACGGCCTGGCGTAGCTATACAAATTTCACCACCTCTTTGCATTTCACGAAGCTGAGTGCCTTTAGAAGAACCACCGTAAAAACACATCGCTCGCAGGCTCGCTGCATCTGCGAAATCTTTTGCTACAGTAAGTACTTGCTGTGCAAGTTCCCTGGTAGGAACGAGTACCAGACATATTGGCCCGTCGTTACGCATTAATCGAGGCTGTGCCATGATGTGTATGACAGCTGGCAGTAAAAAAGAAGCCGTTTTCCCAGAACCCGTTTGTGCTATCCCAACAACATCGCGTCCAGAGAGTGCCATTGGCCAACCCTGCGACTGGATAGGAGTCGGAAGCTGCCAACCATTTTTGGCAATGACACTAAGTATATAATCAGGAACGTTCAACTCATTAAATGACAGTACGGGACGTGGGATATCTCTCCCCGAAAGCGACATTTTGTACTTCTTACGAAATTCCTCAACGTCTGCTTCAGATCTAGAAGCTGACAGTGGATGTTCCTGGTAGAAGTGTTTTTCAAACTTGGTCAGCTCCATGCTTTTCCAATCCGGAGCGGCGAAATCCATGTCCATATCTGACTTTCCACGTTTAATATGTTGACTGGACGGTGCCCACCTGCAATTCTCAATATAAGTTCATAACAAACATACCTTCGAATAGGAGACCTAGAATCCTGAAACCTGCCACCAACCCTAGTCATATTAACGCAATGGCGACGCCCTGAAGACTGGACAGATAATTCAACAACTAAAACAAAACGAGAATTATTTCACTATCAAAAGTCTCTTAATAGGTTTCTGAAAAGTCTGTCTCCACATACATCCGAATGTTTCACAAAATACTATCACCTTGGAAAAAATTAGAAGATGAAATGCATTAGTTATTCAGCGCGTACTTTGGAAATGCTGGATATAACGTATGTCAAGGTAACATTGATACATTCTGGCAGAGTGCAATCCCATATTGGGTGATTTTATTTGGTATAACAGATAGTAACACATCTTTGGTGACTCTCTATAACCGTCACTTGTATCAAATGAACTCGTCTAAGGTGGTATTGTCCATGATGTCATGGATCGCAGTAGAAAGCCGTCTGTGGCTAAATCCATGGTCAGGCAATCATTTGTTGACTTTCGTTGCAAAACAAATAATCTCACGCTGTAAACGTGATAAATAGAGTATGTGGTGAATTTTTAGGGGTTAGAAGTTGAGCAGTCCATGTTTTAGTTGTTATTTCGCGTAGGACTGTATACCAGTCAAGTAAAAGTTTAGGCGATGTTCCCATGAGGCAAAGTGGCTACTAAGTTCTTACAATTCAGTATTACCTTTCGTTCACTTTCTTGATGGTGTTGAGACCAACTGAAAAAATCAGTAGCATACCAGTGAATCAATGTAAGAAATTCAGGAGTGACCTCTAATTTCCAAGCAGACTGGCGAAGTCCGATGCGTCTCCTCAACAACACTGTCCTTCTGGTGCGCCTTCTGCTAATGGTCCCCAGCTATTTTGGCGGACATCTAGATTTTATGAGGTTGGTCACATCATATGCACCTCACTTCAGATGATTAATTCTTTGTTCTGATTTTCTGATTTGGTCATCTAAACCTATGTTCACCACAGTCTATCTCGTCTATTGAATGACAGAATAAATAACCAGTCGTTATAGTAACTCACACAGCTAACGGATCGTACTAGGAGATATTCGCGAGGATATCGTCTGTGATCCATTGGTTGGTGTTGGTGTGTAAGTTCAAGTTTTCAATAAAGAGGAACTACTGCTAAATGTTATTTTGTTGGTATGAATCGCCAATCGTTATATGCAAGAATGGTTAGAAATTAAGTCCCATTTATGCGCTCAACTTAGAATCAATTTCCTATCTGTTCTATATCACTTAACACTGTCAAAAGAAGACTGAACACGGTAACATTATTGGTGAATGGAACCCACAGCACAATGCAAATGCGATTCTCGATAGACTTCTCTCTGCCTAATTTTCATCAAGAGTATGTGTACATTTTGTGTGTTAGATACATTGTAGTATAATTTCCAGGGTGTGTAGCAGACAACTTTAGGTGTTTCCTAACACATCTGTGTTTTGACCCACTTCAGATGTGTGTACAGCATCAAATAGATGGGCGTCTCTTGAAAATTCATACATTATCAGGAATCAAAGAAATTCTTCAGTTCAACTTAACCTCAGCCATTTCGCTTCCGATGATCAGTATGTTTGTCAGTGCTGCTTGAACCACAATGAGGAATTAGACTTTCAATGGCAGAAGTGCAGTTACTGCGTTCTGGTGTGACTGTGTGTTTCCATACGCACATTTGTCTTCGGCTGATCATGATGAGATGAGGGGAATGCCTACTAGTGCTGAGTTGAACAAAGGTTCTGTACAACTACAACGTGAAGTAGACTTAAGAGCAGATGCGGTTGCAGAATGTATGGATACTCTTGAGACCGTCAATGTAAATGATTAGCGTGTAGCCCACCTATCAACAGATGTTAATTCTAAATCGGAGCTAATAATAAAAGACAGCAGTGGTGGTAATCTTGCAGTTAGACAACCTTCTAAAAGCCAAACAACAACAGCTTCTGATGCACCACTAAGTTCATCAAATTGCGTCAATCAGTCGTCGTTGGTGTTGTCATCCACAATGAAATCGACGTCCACGAACTCACGTGTCTTATCCTATGACTATGCTAGTATAAGTCCGTTTGGAAGGACGAAAGTCAATGATCAGTTTAGTGAGGATAAGACAAATATTCATGAGAGGGAAATTGTTAAACTGACTTGCTCGAATAAAAACATTTCACGTTTTAAGTTACTATTTGAGTGTTATTAACTTTGTTGTCAATTCCTCTCTGCCACCGATTGGTTGGTCACATACATAGTATGTTCGTTAGTCATCTACATCCTACGATACAATGTCACGGGCGTGTCGCTGTTCAGAGTTGGGGATAAAGATGATAGAAGGAAGTCGTCAACCTGAGAAGGGTTGTAGGCGTACTGCTGTAAGTCCTACAATTCTTCAAAGGGTAGCGCATCAATAAGCAGCCCAACGTGCTTGGTGTGTTATTTTGTACATATGTTCATGTTGTATATACTGAATTGGTATCATCCCTCATCTATCTGTTGGTAGATTTGTTTGTATCCGGACGACTTCCACTTGAATCATCAACCTGAGAAGGAAGGTAGGCGTACTGATGTAAGTCCTACAGTTCTTCAAGAGTAGTTTGTCGTGCCAGAATTCACAATATTTGATGTAGTGATAGTACATATGTTTGTGTTAAATAGATGTGTGAGTTCAAATTATTGTAATTTTTGGTTAATCTTGTTTGTGTCCGAGCATTGTTCAACTTATAATCGTCAACCTGAGAAGGGTTGCAGGCGTACTGCTGTAAGTCCTGCAATTCTTCAAAGGAATTCCATCGAGACACGATCTGCGAGTTTGTTTGTACTGTTTGTATATATGTGTGGTGTGTCATATCAATTGGAGTTTTTGGGTCCATTGTGTTTACTCGTTGTTTTCGTACCTTGTTGTTATCGTGTAATTTTGTTAAAATTTTCGTCATGATCACTTCTGAAGTTGTGTCCACTCTTCTACATCTGTGAATGAATTGTTTGATGTTAAGGACAGCAGATGGGTCGTATACGCCGGGGAGGCTATTGCTGAGAATGAAATGCACACGGAGATAATTGTTAGCTGCGGTCCGACACGCCGGGGAGAAAGAGTGTAAACGACTGAGGCTCGCATACGTCATCGTTACTAGAACTGAGGCAGAATGAGTGACAAGCGATTTCAGTGGTAATTGGTAGTGAGTAGATAAGAGGATGAGCGTAGAGTATCGTGAGGTACTGCCATAGTCACGTTGTATTCTGCAAGAGTCATTCTAGCAAGTGGAGATTGTGTTGCAAGAGGATGCCTTTAACTGGAAGGCGCAGGTCGTCAGCGATGTGTGAGATTGTGCTGTGGGTTTGCTTGTGGTGTGTTGACTTTTCTGTTTGTTTTCCATTTCAGCTGTGTCCGTGTGACCCAGGTTCTCGCAATGGCATCCAAGTCAACGTGTATTGGCCGTGAAGGAAGAAATGGTTGAATCCCTTTTTTGCCGGGGAGTGTCAATGTAGTTGAAGATTGAACGATCAATTCATGGTTGTTTGCTCAAAACCAACTTCCTCAATTTTCGCGGAAGCATCAATACGACAGTCATCGTCTCATCGGTCGCTGTTCAGAAAGAAGTCAGCAGTAAACCATCAGAAGTAATATTGTGATTTATTATTGTAATATTTGTTCACAGACCTTAGTCATACTTGATTTATATGTTGGTGTAACAATAAAGAATCCTCGAGTCACCAATCGGTGTTTTGGTTTCTGCGTCCGTTATAACTAAGCGTTTCTGAAAAACTTCAAGGAACAGCGTGGGCCCGAGCGTAGCAAGAGCTGGGCATTAACGGTTTACGAGACGTGGCTGACAGTTTCTGACGATAGAAACAGATTCTGGTGGATTCAAACAGTTGGTGAAAGTTTGGATAGTCACCGTTCATCTTTCCTGGTGCCGGTCAAGTCCTCTTTGAACAAGCAATATCTGGAACGTTTTTGGAATTGGGTCAAGTTCAACAATGCCTGGGTCAAAGAAGGGACAGAGTGTCTTGGATGCAAACAGGAAAGTAAGTCATGGTGACTTGTCTGTTAATTGTAACGATGTGTCTGATGTTAAGCATGACATGGTTGATGTTACTGTTTCGCCGTTCAGGGATAATAGGAACATCAAACTCCCTAAATTTGAACCACGGTGTTTTGATGGAAACCCGGCTGATTATTTACAATTTGTAAAGGAGTTTGAGATCATGCTGAGTAGTTTTTTATTAAGTGATGAATTGAAATTGATGTATTTGATGAGGTATTGCACTGGAGATGCTTCAAGAGCTATACAGTGCTGTAAGCTCATGCCCCCTAATGAGGGATACGCTGAGGCTATGAGCATATTACGTCAAAGGTTTGGAAGACCTTCGATGATTGTAAGGAACGTATACGAAGCTGTCAAAGGTAATGGCAGTCAACTTCAAGATGACTCCAAGGCACTTACTGAGTTTTTAGATAATCTTATGACTTATAAGAATACCTTGATTTCTATGAATTGCATGAGTGACCTCAACTCGAGCTCAGTCCTAGAGGTAATTGCGAGACGCCTACCTACTCGGCTGCAAAGGAAATGGGTAAAAATAAGCTCTCGTATAGAGGAGGAGGGTATCGAGCCAAAGTTTGATGATATTCTTAGACTGGTGAAGGACAGTGTCAACCAGGCGATGGGCAAATTCGCCAGCATTTTGCATTCTAAGGTAGAACCTAAGGAACCAGTGAATATAAGGAAGGCATTTGTGGTGAAGTCTCAAGACACAACGAGAAAGGATGAGTGTATTGTTTGCCATAACATGCATCAATTGAGTGATTGTAATCGCTTTATCGCTATGTCACCCGTAGAAAGGTTAAAAATGGCAAAGCAGAAGCGGCTGTGTTTCAGTTGTTTAAAGATTGGGCATACAAAGTGGAATTGTAAGGCGACAAATAAAAGAAGTAGTGGTTTAACGGATATGCACCCACTTCTGAGAACAGTGAACGAACCTGGGAATTCGGTTAATTGTAATAGTATCTCTAGACCCCTTGACATCCCACAAGTTTTCTTAGGGGTATTACCAGTTAA